CGCAGGAGGGCTGGGAGCTGCCTGGAGGCGCGGGATGGGGATGGCCCAGCGGCGCCTGGCGGTGGGAACGGTGCCTTGGATTTCTTACATGGCTGACGCGGGGAGCGTGAGATTTTTGGGCAGAAGATGTTGGGTATCTTTTAAACACCCTTTTGCCCCAACAGCAATGTCCGTAAAGGGACCTGTGACCCCTGTGATGGGGACAAGGGAAGAGCAAGCCTGGGAACAGCGGGCGCTCTCATCATCCTGAGCCAGGCTCTGAGCCTCCTTCAGCCCTCGGCTTTAGCTGTCCTCGCAGGGTGCTGGGTGCAGGGCTGAGCCGAGACCCTGCTGGGCCTCCTCTCCTGGCTCTGGGCACGCCGCCGGGCGTCTTGCTGCCTTCTGCCAGCGAGCACAATTGGGCTCCGTGTCTTGCTGAACAGCGTGTTTCCCTGGCGTGCTTCAGCCGCACAGGAGCAGGCGCGGAGCCTGCTGAAAACGCGGAGCCTGCCCGAAGCAGCAGCTGCCACCGCTCTGGCTTGGAGCTTCCAGCCAAAACAGCAGCTGCCCGAGTTCATCTGACGCTGGACCTCAGCCTTTTTGTTCTTTTTTTTTTGTTTGTTTTTGGACTCAGAAGATGACTTTCTAGCACTGACACCACCGAGAGCTCCTTCTCTCCAGGCTGTTCATTTGGGTGCGAGGGGTTGTATGTGTTTGAGACAAAGATGCACGTGGGTGAGTAAAGTCCACCAGAGTCTCCAGGACTGCAGCTGGAGGTTTTGTTTTGGTCAGTTTTGAACTTGGGTCAAGGGATACGTCACTAACCCTGTGGTTTCACAAACCTTCAAGAAGCACTTGTTTTTCCTGAGCAAGTACCGGTGGCATCAGCCTGCCTGCCTCCCCGTTCCCGACTCACCTTTGTGGCTGGGGTTTCCGCTCCAGCTGCCCTGTCTCCTCTTGCACAAGGACTCGGTGACCCTTTCCCTGTGCGTTGTGGTCCAGGGTAAAACACTGAAAACTGGCTAAAAAGGGAGCCCTGTTTCCAAGCACTGTAACTAAAGACTATCCTGTTATCCAAGAGAAGAGCACAGCCCGCCAGCTGCTGCTCTCCAGGATGTCATACCATCCTCACACGCAATGCGCTGTGCACCTAACCGATGCCTCGCACTAGAACCGCGTCACTTTTTAATTTTCATCTGGTCATTAGGGCTGGTGATGTTTCAGCCTTTCCAAGGTGGATCCAGCAGCCCGCTCTGACAGTTGGTCTTTGATCAGATGGCTTCTTATTGCACTCAATAAATGTTTTCTCTACAGTCTGCTGCTTCCCTTTTCTTTAAAAAAAAAAAATCATCCCCCTCAATACCCTCTGTCTGCAGCAGCAGATGAAGGACACATGCCAGAAGCAGATACCCAAGCAGGGGCTTCTGCCAAGCACCAGTGCCTGCAGCTCCTCCACCACCATCTCTGCTGCGACTGCACCCCAGTAATGGCTCGTTACACCAGTGCAAACTGGAGTTAAACCAGTCTCCTTTGAGGAAATGTCCCCTGTGACTCTGGCATCAGAGCTCGGCTCAGGGGCTGCAGAATGACTGGGCAAATGGTTTGCATTTATTGGGGACACGATGCAGGGAGACAAACCGATTCCCTTGTGAAGCGAGGAACGCCGCTGCCTCTCGGGCGGAGGTGATGCCAGCCCCGGCAAGGTGGTCGCTGCTCTACAGGGGCAGCGCCGTGGCCCCTCCGGAGGGTTTGGTGAGGCAGAAGGTGGCTGTGCCGCTGTATTTCTCCTAGGAAGCAAGAGGAGCAGTAAGTGCTGGTGCTCCAGGGCCGTACCACGCCGCAGCAAGAGGCAGAAAGGCGCTGCCGGTCAGCCCAGCCGTGCGTCTGGCCCAGCCACCGCTCCAACTGCGGCCACGTGGGATGCTTTTTGGGGCCAGCACGCTGTCCTGGCCACGGCCTGGGGTCCCTCGGTCCATTCACAGCACGGGGCAGGGAGGTTATCAACCCATCCCCAAGCTGACCCTTCAGCAGCCCCTTATGGACTGTTCTCCGTGACTTTTTCCAACCCCTTTTTGACCTTGCTGATGCTGCCGACCTCCACGGCCTCTGGTGCCAGCAGAAAACTCATCACCAGCTCCGCACAGTGCTTCCTCGGCTCTGTTTTTCTCCTAACTCATCCGGTGGTCACTGGTTCTTATTTTGGAGGATTTGAGGGTCAGTTCCACGCTCAGCCTAGCTCCCCCCATTGCTGTTTTGTAACTCCTGGTCACGTTCCCTCTCTCCCAGCTTCTCATCGGATGGCAGAGGCGCAGCCCTTTCGGTCTCTCTTCGTTTCAGACACCTTCCTCTGCCCCTTCTTTTTCCTCCCCTACTATTTACAGGGCGCACCATGATCTCATATAGCAGCAAAATGAGGCTCTGCCTCATTCACTGCCCCTGTTTCCTGACACCCCCATTTTGCTGGCGTTTTCAGCTACCGTTGCACGCTGAGCTGCTGATTCAGAGAACATTTATGACGGCACTGAGATCTTTCCTGCTGGCGTACAGCTCAGCATTGCCTAAGCCTAGCTTGGATTGCTTTTTCTTAGATAGATTTAGCCTTTCCGAAGCTCACCCAGCACCTTTTTGCTCACTTTCCCAATGCAGTAAGGTCCTCGGGCAGTGCTCTGTGACCAGCATGCTGCTGAACTGCCTGCAACAGCTTAGTCGCATCAACAGACTGGGGGCTGTCCCTGCGCAGCACTGCATGGGCTACACCAACCCCAAGTGCCTCAGGAGCACAGCTCCAGCGGCATCCCGGGGCCATGCCCCTGAGCGTTTCCTTGGGATAAGTCCGTCTCCTGGCGCTTTCCTGCCGTGTACCTGGATGTGGTGCTGGGCTCTCTCTGCAGCTCCAGCCTCCAGCAGTGTCACCGTGCAGCCCCCGAAGCCTCCTCCGGTCATCCTGCTGCCGTAGACCCCGTCGACCTCCAGGGCTGCTGCTACCAGCTCGTCCAGCTCTGGGCAGCTCACTTCGTAGTCGTCCCTGGAGAGAGGAGACCCGTGGTCAGCCCTGGCCTGCACCCCCGCCCTGCACCACAAACAGCTGAAACACGCATCTCGGTGCATCCATTGCCGAAGCAAACTGCAGCAACGCGGGATGCTGCAGGTCCTGGCCCAGCCTATACGTGCACGTAATGCGTGAGCAAGGCTGCAAGAATCGGGGAGCTGCTGGGCGCTGCCGTAAGTGACACACGTCTGTAACACACACGACC